AACAGTGTCAATTCTGGAACCCATAACTGTACATTTTGTAAGAATCAAGGGCTGTCAGGGATTAATATAAAATATTATGAGTTGTTTTCCCTCTCTGACCATGAGGACTGTACCCGTTGTCTGGCACATACAAGTCCAAACACCATGGAACTGCAATTTTTAAACGCTAGATGGCTCCATTGACTTTTTAAATGCAGCATTTCCCAAGCTTGCACAGAGTTTTGAAAAGTAAATACCATTCAGAGGTGTTCCATTGACAGTCATAGATACTACTTAAAAAAAGAAGGAAAAAAGGAAAAAAAATTATTGTCCTCATCCTTTGAGCAATGTGGAACTGATAGCTCATGCAAGGGGCAAAAAGGCTTTCAGTTTCTCCCCTGTATTATACTGAATTTTCACAGTTAATTTTATCCACAGGATGCCTGCAGGTGCCTAAGGATGGAAAACAAAGGGTTCTGGCCCCTTGCATGGAGAAAGTTGGCAAAAGTGGTTTTTAAGCTGTTGATGTGCTCTTCCAACCTTTTGCACCTGTCTGTGTCACACTGGCACAAGGAAAAGCCATGGCAGCACCCATTCCTTCCTGCTACACTGCAAAATCCTGAAAAGTTATCTTGAGGGATGGTCAAGTTTACTATTACTCTTTTAGAAAATATTCAGTTTTTGTACCAGATTACTGAATGGATTTTGCATACAGCAAACTCACCTTTCCCCATTGTTTTGGGCTGGCACATATAAGTTTAAAATTTATACTTCATTCATATGAGTTTTGAAGAAAAATTAAATTACTCTGAAAAAACAAAGTTGAAGAAATGCCAACATGATGGTTTATTTTTTTAATTATCTATTCATTTATGTTCTAAATTCCTCTGATGGTTCTGTTTTTTAAACAAAAGGTTGCTGAAACTCAGAAATTAAATATTAGGGAAGGTAGGCATTGAGTTCAACACCTCTTCTTTTCTTCCACTTTAGTCTAGATTTGAGAAGCCTGGCTGTTTCCCTGCTATCAGCTAATTATACAGGAGATGACAGGAACAAACCACTCAAACACTGACTAATCCAGCAGGTCACCTTCCATTCCACACCTTCTGCCATCTGCTCCAGCCTCTATTGCTACCTGACACTCCAAGAGATTTGTCCATGCTGGAGCTGCTCCCTGTGGAAATCCCTTCTTTTCCACCACATGATCCATCAAAGAGTTTATTACATGCAGAGACCTTCCCCACAAATCCTGGGCTTTAGGAACACATGAAAAAGGAAAGGGGTATGAAGGTGTATGGTTAAAAATGTCCAAGTAGAGAACATGAACAAAGCCCTGGGCAGAGCACTCCTTTACAGCAATCCTTCAAGGTGTCCATGGAATTCAAGGCCTTTCCGTAGAGAAATGAAGGCAAGGAAAAGGGGAAAAAACCCCGAAACCAACATAAAACAAATCAACCAAAAGAACCCTGAGCAAACCACCCACCCCAACTTATCAGCGTCACTAAATCTGAAAGGAAAGGCATGTAAAGTTGTAGGATCAGAAATCAGTATGGAGGGAGTTGAGTAAGGCATCAAGCACAGAAGTCCTGAGAGCATGTTTAAAATTTATACTTCATTCATATGAGTTTTGAAGAAAAATTAAATTACTCTGAAAAAACAAAGTTGAAGAAATGCCAACATGATGGTTTATTTTTTAATTATCTATTCATTTATGTTCTAAATTCCTCTGATAGTTCTGTTTTTTAAACAAAAGGTTGTTGAAACCCAGAAATTAAATATTAGGGAAGGTAGACATTGAGTTTAACACCTCTTCTTTTCTTCCACTTTAGTCTAGATTTGAGAAGCCTGGCTGTTTCCCTGCTATCAGCTAATTATATAGGAGATGACAGGAACAAACCACTCAAACACTGACTAATCCAGCAGGTCACCTTCCATTCCACACCTTCTGCCATCTGCTCCAGCCTCTATTGCTACCTGACACTCCAAGAGATTTGTCCATGCTGGAGCTGCTCCCTGTGGAAATCCCTTCTTTTCCACCACATGATCCATCAAAGAGTTTATTACATGCAGAGACCTTCCCCACAAATCCTGGGCTTTAGGAACACATGAAAAAGGAAAGGGGTATGAAGGTGTATGGTTAAAAATGTCCAAGTAGAGAACATGAACAAAGCCCTGGGCAGAGCACTCCTTTACAGCAATCCTTCAAGGTGTCCATGGAATTCAAGGCCTTTCCGTAGAGAAATGAAGGCAAGGAAAAGGGGAAAAAACCCCGAAACCAACATAAAACAAATCAACCAAAAGAACCCTGAGCAAACCACCCACCCCAACTTATCAGCGTCACTAAATCTGAAAGGAAAGGCATGTAAAGTTGTAGGATCAGAAATCAGTATGGAGGGAGTTGAGTAAGGCATCAAGCACAGAAGTCCTGAGAGCATCTACTGCTCCATGAAAGCATCCCAAGGGATGATCCCACCTGATGATGCTCTGCCTGCACACGAGGGGACAAGCAAACAGCAACAGGCCTCACCATCTCTGCAATCTTCCCCAATATCAGCTAAAGACAGAGTTCTGACCTACGGGGCTCTTTTTTCTAGCCCTGTTGGCACTGAAGTGACTTGGAAATCTGTCTTTGGACACAGGCATTGGAATCAGGTCCTTCAATTGTGGCAGCAGCTGAAACATAGAGCTGGAAGCAGGCAGAACTTTGTAACTTCCCTTTGTCCACACTGCATTAACTTCACTCCGTGCAATAACTGGGAATTAATAAAGTCTTTCCTAGACTCAGAAAAGGGTACAAATACGACTTAGGTATGTGTGCTGATTATTTTAATGGAAGCAACTGCCCTGCAGGTTAAGGAAGAGGCGGGACTTTCACGAAACGCGAGTGGGAAGAGCCACGCAGCGCAGTGTGGATGGAGCCAGAGATGCTAGCACCGCTTTTCCCTCCCTTAATGTATAGGCAGCGCCGGCACGGACAGGGAAGGCTCCGACAGGGGCGGGCGGTTACGTAAGGGAAAATCTGCATTCCTTGCGTAACGCGGCTCTTTACATAACCCCGGCCCCAGCCCCCGAGCGGGGAGAGCGGCACCGGCCGGCACTGCCCGCCCCGCCGCAAAGGAAACGCGCTGTTTCTGCCTAAAGGGAAAGAAATAAAAACGATGGGAGATGTCACACACTGCAGATTCCCATAGCTGATGGTTTGGGTGGGCTTTATGGGAAGAGGACAGGAGGTTTTGAAGTAGTTTTTTAATATAGAATCATGGAATCATCAAGTTTGGAAGAGACCTTGAGGATCTTCCAGTCCCCCATGGCGCCAGCACTGCCCTGCAACCCCTAAGCGACATCACCCAGACACGCCTGGAACACCTCCAGGTGATTCCACCACCTCCCTGGACAGCCCATTCCAACATCTGACCGTCCAAACAATGAAAACATAAATACAACACAGGCCTGGCCACAGCCATTTTACACAGGCAGATCGGATAAAAATAATAAAACAATTCCCACTCCCAGTGAAAGTTTAAGTTTCTACAGGAAAATAAGAAAATTCTCTGTTGGACTTCTTGCCAACTCTGCTTGCTTAGCACTAGGCAAGGAACACAGAGAAAGTTGGTTTGGGCTGTAAATGGTCACTAGGAGTCCCCGTGTACAAAGGAGCTCCCGGGTTGGAGGTTGCAGAGTTTCACTAACACTTGTGACAGGAGAGACTTGGAAAACACACTTGTAAAACAAAGAGAAGAGGGGGATAATTTGGGGACAGGAAAGTCCAGCAACACCTAGCCAGGAGTTTATCTAAGGATAAAAGTTCAACAACACCTAGGCCAGGGTTTGTTTAAGGATATGTGGCCTTTGTGTAAAGTCATGTTTAAACCCTATCTTGCATTTCCCAGTTCCTGGGCAGTTATGTGCTCCATCTGCTCCCCACAGATACCTGATTTTTGGGAAGGAAACTTCCGATGTGAGGGCCAAAGAGCCCAGATGCAAACCCTTATCACAAATGATTACAGAAAACTTAATGGCCAATAATAATACAAATGCAGAACTGAGCAGCACTTAACTATTTGCATTTTCCTACAAACATAACATGTAAATTAATTCTAAACATGCAGGTTAGATTTCTGTACCGATTTTTGTAGAAATCACCTAATTTAGAATATTTTTGTTTTAGGGGTCTCCAAACTAGACCACAGAGTTTTCCTCTGTGAGCTGTACTTACACTGTTTTATTATTTATCATGTACTGGTAGTATCTAATTTATTAGATTACTGCTTGTTGAATATTTTATCTTATGTTCATTCCGAGCAAATAAAATTCCTCTTAAAACAAAGTTGAGTAAAAGAGCATTGTACATTAGAATTCTGCTTAAAAAACTATTTCTACTACATTGCACATAACAGATTTGAAATGTAACCTTCAGAAAATTATGTTTTATAAATCAGATTTAAGGTCACTCAGCTACACATACAGGTTTGTCTGATGCATTCAGATCTCTCCTTCTTTGAACAGTTCCAGAATTTCAGATAAATAATGTATAAAGTCAGAGAAAGGCAGTCTTCTATCTGGGGTAACTACTTGCAAAGTCCAAGCTAAGCAGGTTTGAGACAAACTGGTTTTAAACCAGCATTTCACATGGCTGTTGTGCCAAAGGCAGTTAGCAGATGCCAGCAAAGAATTTGCCAAGTGACTGGAAAGGAATCTTTCCAAACATCCACATGATGACTTATAATTCCATACACGCCAGAGTCCCATCTTGCTTGTAAATCTTTCTTGTGCAACAAAGAATTACAGTGTATTCTATTTATAAACTGACAGAAAACTTCTTTTATGCTGCTTCAGACTCTAATTATTAGGGCTGTACGGGTACTTTCCCAATTTATTTTTAAAGCAGAGGCTGAACAGTCATATCCTTCTGCAATTTCTGTGGTTCTCACTTCCATTTCTGGTTTTAAACAAACAGGCTTATGTTTGCATATTCCATGTGTTTTATCTATAATAATATACTACAGGACAGTTATACTCACAGGTGTCCTTTCAGAAGGGAGGATGTCACTTGGCTCAAAGCCTCCCACAAAGTGGATTCCACACCTAGAAATCTCTGTTCTAATGTCAGTACAAATAACTTAAAATACATTTTGCATTTTATATAAGCCTAGCAGTATTTTGTATGTACATATTCCAACTACTGATGATGGAGTTTATGGAAAAGCTTGGTCTAATCAAAATTTTTCCTCATAGTTCTCATCTCACATCCCACTTTCTGGAATGGCCTTGAACAATCCCCAAAACACAGGAAATTTGTTGTTTTTATTTAGAGTAGAAGCCAAACTTCTAGATTTACAAATTCCTCCTTAACTCAATACTGAGAAAGACCAAATCATCTGTACCAAGAGTTCTTAGCTGCTCTAATTCAATTACAGGACTGAATACTCATGTGCCCAAGTAATTTCTGCAGGCTTTTTGAAAAGCAGTGGATAAGAAACATTATGCTTTTTGATTTATTGACTTCATGAAACTGACAGATATGATTGGCTTTGTATCATTCAACCATTCAGTGGAGCAATTTTCCCACTTTATGAAATATTACAATTTTCTATATCATTCTTCCTTTACAGTGAAGAATATTTGATAACACGATTCAACTGCATTTCACATTTGGCAAAAATCTCCCCTCTAGCTTTTGGAGATAACTTCATTTAACTGTGAGGGGTTTTTTTCTGTTGGGATATCAGTAAGTCTTCAGTGAGTAAATGCACGTGTGCCAAGCATATCATTAACTGAGCTGATTGAAGATCAGAAAAGCAAGTACTAGATCTAATATCACTTGGGTGCCACTAATGGGTACATTACAGATTGAAATAATTTATTTGATCCATTAGTTGTTTTGTTGTTATCAATACCACAGGCAGTTGTATGAATCTATTTACAAAATGAATTCAAACTCCTTCAGCTTTTAAGGCACTGCTCAAATGAAAGCAGTCTCTTACAACAGCTGAAACAATTACAAGTGAAAACGAGAGACCATTTTGATGAATATGCATTCCAGCAGTAATCATCTCCCAGACAAGACTTGTCTGTTTCTAAAAATAAATGTTAATAATACAGATGTAAATTTAGGGGAGGTTTATTGTTTTTTTCCATTCCTCTGTAAATGTTGACATTTAAAACTTTTACTGCATTTCCTCTTGTTAAAATAGACAGACTGCAGAAGACAAAATACCATGTGCACTGAAATAATCATGAGTGTATTACTGTCACCAAAATAGTCTCTAAAATAAGACTAAAAGTAAGTTGTATACTCAATGGAAATACATATTAAAAATAATATAAATAAATGTGATCAGCTGTAACTTGGTAAAAAGAAGTGGATAACTTTTTCTTGTACAGCATGATAAAAAGATTAAAATAAATACATCTTTACAAAGTGCAAAATTTACCTGAGAGAACCAGTGCTGGCTGCACAACAGACACCCAGGTGGCTTCAGAAAGTACTGACATTTTACAATGGGAATGCCAACATTTAAAATAACTCTGGAGACACTTGCACTACTTTCAGCATGTGGTGTGTAAAAGTACAACCTACCTACAAACAGGGCTGGCAGACAGGCTCCTCATGGGGCAGACAAGGTGCTGACTGGCATCACTGAGGTGTTCTAAGGTTTAGTGGTTTATGTTTTGTAGGTGCCAATGAAGAGTACAACAACATCTGTGAAATTAAAATTTCAGAACTGAAAATACTCTATTTCACTCACAGAACTGAAAATACTCTATTTCACTGTCAGCTCAGTGTTACTGCCATTCCCCAAGGATGCATGTGAACTGTTCATTAGGAGAGCAGAGACAGGACAGGAAACTAGACCCACCAGTCAAATGTATGCTATTGGGTAACTGACCATAGTAATTGCTTCTGCAAAATGTGAGAGGCCTTGAAGTATTTTCTTGTTAATTTGCTACCATTACCCTACCCTTTCAATCCACCCTGTTCTTGTTACAAATCTTGCAATAGTATTTTCTTAATGCCTCAATTACTGTAGATGCATTTACTCAGCTATTATCTCAGTTTGCTTTTGCAGTTTTCCAATTTCTTACAAAAGGAAAACTCATTTAAATACTCATGGTCACCTACAAGTGCCCTGTGTCCTATACACTTAGGGATTTGTACTACAGCACTCACAGAAGCCTTTCCTTTGCTAATGCATTTTAAGTTCTCCTTTCTGTGTGAATTCTCTGGCTTTTCTAACACGTGAGCTCACACTGCAACGTTCTCTCTCTTCACTGGGGGCACGTGGAGCTGCCCGTTTGTGTGTAAGAAAGCTGAGGAACAGTTATCTGCCAAACCGTTATTTTTTCACTGCCGTTGGCACAAAGCACGAGAGGGAACTCTGCCAAGCTCTTGCATCCCACAGAAGAGATTAAATCAAGTGCAGAGGCAAGACTGATGTGCCAAGCTGAGGACAGAAAACTAAAAGGCTGTGGGACACCTGAATCCAGCAGGCAGGGCACAATAATGATATGATTGACACCAAGCTTAAACTTCCAGACAAACTGCCCTGATAGCAGTTTGAGCAAGTTTGAGCAAGTTTAGGCAGGTGGCTGGGAGAAAGGAAGGAAGCAGAACTAACAGGTCAGGAATTGAGGGGTGTATGGAATGGGCAGCAGCAACAGGTGTGCTTTACTCACATTTCCAGTGGGCAGGGCAGCTGTGAGTCACAGGCACAGACACCTACAGTATGTGGTTTTCTGGGTGGCAGATATTTTGTCAGGGTGTTGCCAGCAGCAGCTAATGAAGACATCCAGAGTTACTGTGGGAAAAGCACGTACGCGCAGCATAGCTCCTTTTTCCAGGCTGAGAAACAATGCCTATTTTTGTAGTATTAATATTGTTTTTAAATATTTCTTTTATTATTACGGCTGACTCATTTTTGAATGTTTTGGATTGCTACGTGTCTCATACAACAGCTTTGGCCATAATTCTTAGCCTTTTTTATGACCACACGAGGGTGAATGTGCTGCCACTTGTCTAAGAGTCAAAACATCCGCTCTTCTTTGCAACTTGGACTTGGGTTGGAAAACTTTCTTTTCACTTCATTTCTTCACTAGCTGTGTGAAGAAAAGGAGTCTCCGAAGCCAAAATCCCCTGAGGTTTACACGTGGAATGTTTCTATGCCTACCAAGCTGGGGGGACACAGAACTACCTGACCCCTCAGTTTTGGGACATCTACCTTTAACTCTGCTCGTCTTTTTACACCAACTACCTTCACTCACGTCATTCCCAGTGCTCCCTGCATTGTAGAGATACTTTTATATCTAAATGTTTTCAGGTTAGTCTCCAAATATTGTAAACCAAACTCACAAAAAAAGGCCCTAGAACTTTCAGCTTCAGGGCCCAGAATCTCTCAAAATAAGGTCAAATGATTTTACATGTTAATATCCTCATTCCTGCTGAGTCACGCTGGGTTTGAGCTTTAGTTATCTGCCTTCGCCGATCTACCCGGAAAATTTCTTGGGGATTTGTTTGTTTGTATTTTATTACAGACAAGCACCTGGACTGCGTTGCTACATTGAAGGGCAGACGCTGTTGAAAACACTTCTGATTGGGACACACCTCCAGCACACTTACCGGCTGTCATTCTGCACTAGCCTCACGACTTTCTGGTCCCGAACCCAAGTTTGTTTTTTTTTTTGTACATTAAAGCGCTTTTCGAGGAGTTTTGAAGCAGCCGCCGGATAAGGCGGCACCGCTGAGGAGAACCCAGGTGGGGCTGGGCTCCCGCCCCTCCTTCCCTGCCTGCCGCGCCGGCCGGGGCCATGTGACAGCGCGACTTCTGCCTTCAAGCCGCCGAAGGGGAAGGGGAAAGGGAAGGGGCCACGCTTTGCCCTGCTCCGGCTGCCGCTGAGGCCGCGGCCCCGCGGAGAGGCACCGCCCGAGCCCCGCCACAGGTGCAGCCGCGGCCCCGCAGCGACAGCGCCGGCCCTCACGGGCTCCTGCGGCGGCAGCGCCCGCGGGCCCGGCCCCACCTGCTCGCGGCGCTGGGATGCGGCGCTGCCCGCGGGGCATCCGCGGCGCTCGGAGGCGGCTCCGGCTTTCACGGCGTGTGCTGGGTATAGATTCAAGGCCGTTAAATGCCTGATCGATAATTGCTTTTTAAATAATCATTACATCTATTTTTTAATTTTTTTTTTTTTTTTTTTTTTTTTTTTTTAGTGCAGAATGTTTCAAGAGAAATAGCTTTATTTTCTTCTGCAAAGGTGCAGACCTAAAGAGCAACCAACCTTTCTGTTAAATTGAGATATTTAGGAAATGATCATTTACTAGGTGGCATTCGTACCTTTCCCCATCCAATTAGGATGTCTAGTTGTTGCTCACCTTGGGCAAAGGACAGCAGTTCAATAGAAGGATACTGGATACAAGAGCCTCTTCCAATGCAGGATGGCACAGCTCACACGAGTATTGCATGAGGTGCCTCATGACTGTTTTAGGTTTGTTAGGCTCATTTTGGTACCATGAGCTAGCAGTAATGTGGGTGAATGTACATTTCAAACTCTTCTGTACCTTAGTATCTCATGCTTGAGTGGAGAACGTGAGCTTGGGTTCTGTAAGAAAGAAAAAAAACTTTAGTGTCAGTAAAGGATTGTACTTACATCTGTACTTTCTGTCTCTTCACTACCTTATTGTAAGGATTTAAAACACAGTGTGGTTTCTCATGCAGCATGTTTCTTACTGCAGTTCTGTTTCTGATCACAATTCTCTAGGAAAAAGTTCATTTAAACTAGGAAAATGTTCAGCATTTTCTGCTCAGCGGAAAAAATGTTATTCTTTCACATTGTACTAGTATTGTTAACACTCTTACTGTAGTTGAGTAAGTATAAAGGGACTTTTTCCCTGGCTGAAGCAGCTCAAAAGGCTCTTGCTGCGGGCAGCCACATGTGTGGCGGGCTCTGCTGCTGACAACAGTGTTCATTGAGTTCAGGGGACAGACTCCCATGACTTCCTTGGGGGTTGACATTGAGAACCAAACCTAAGTTTGGATGCTACTTAGATATGGTAGTGCATTGCCACTGAATCATTCAGCTAAACATGTATGTATTTTTAAATTTCCTATGTAGTTATACTTGATTTTACAAAGACTTAATACTAATTGCAAAACAAATACTCTCCTGTGCAGAAAACAGCACAGTCAGATCCACAGTTCTTTAAAAACAGAGATGCTTTTCTTCTGGCATGTGAATGGGTTCTTATAAAATAAGAATGCAAAGTAATGTAGGGGAACACTAAATTGCTGTGTTATGGTCCATTTTAATTCTTGCCACCTTTTCGTACTACATTTGCTTTTAGAATAAAAGCAAAAATATTCTCAAAGCAACTGTGAAAACAGGTGGACATTAATTAGAGTCTTTTAGGCTGAAACAAACAGGATCACATATCAAAAGGATCACATATCAACATATGAAACCTGCAGCATGCGTACAGAAAAATTGTAATGGGGGCCCTGATAAGTTGTGTCTGGAGAGATAAAAAACTGCCACACTCCAGGCTGCCTTCCAGGGTATGTTGTTATTTAAATGAATGCTATCTCACAAAGTATGTTTGCATTTTTCTAACCAAAAAATGGTTAGAAATTCTGAAAAGCCAATTCTGGACCCTGACTTCACATTCTGGCAGTGCTTGGATCCATTTGCTGTGACATGTTTGCAGCTATTTTTAACTTATGTAATAAGAATTTAATCTTATTTGTTATAAACTCCATCATACTGAAGGCATTCAGAAAGCTTTATAGTACACAACAAATAATGCTGGTCTGTAGTTTATCAGCACTGTGTTTTTTCCTCTCTGGAATGCTTCCATTTGTGCTAAAATGCACATTCTGGATTGTATGAAAATGGAATAAAAGCAAAGCCCGGAAACTACAGAAGAAACAATAAAGATGGCATTTTAGTAGTGAGGCTAGTATAAAACGGAAATATTTTGTGCTGAAAGCCTAGCTACTTCAAATTTTAAAACATAAAACATATTCTTTTTGAAAAGTAATATTTAAATGCCAAGTAAAAATGCAAGTCCATGACCTATCTCCTTCCCACATGCATTCAAAAATGTGATATGAACTATTACAAATGGAAAAAAGTCATGGAGTTAACTATACTACCTTTGTTCCTGTTGTGCAACTATTCCGCTTCCCAGAAGTTCCGTGACTTTCTGATTTGTGCAAGGGATGGGGTGAGGTGGAAATGTACAACCTTCTTTTCTAACTTGCCTGTTGGCTTGAAGTCACTGAGCAAGGAAGAAGGCAAGCAACTGAGTGAATGTGGTTTCCAGGTTCAGTGCAAGGACACGCAGCTGGGTATCCATTGTGTCACAAAAAATTGTCTGAGTGATTCTGCAAGTAAGTGGAATCTCCTGGTAAATCTCTACATAAATTGCTTAGGAATTTTTGTGGGTATACCACGAGGTTCCTGATGCACAAATTAGCATGGCTCCAAAAGCAGAGCTGCTTTGTGGTTCTTGTGTACTGCATGCTAGTTTAAATTGTGCAGAGCTGTTCTACTTTCTTCTGATTTTGCTCCAAGCTCTGAATTTTGCTAGGCATACCATGGAAAAACCCCAATTTCTCGCACATCTTCACTCATCCTGTAGCTCTGATTTTCTCACCTGTGCTCCTCATCAGGCGAGATGCCGCGGCAGTTTCCCAAGCTGAACATTTCCGAGGTGGACGAGCACGTGCGGCTCCTGGCAGAGAAGGTGTTTGCCAAAGTTCTGCGAGAAGAAGACAGCAAGGATGCGTTGTCACTCTTCACCGTGCCTGAAGACTGCCCTATTGGGCAGAAGGAGGCCAAGGAGAGGGAGCTGCAGAAGGAGCTGGCAGAACAGCAGTCTGTGGAAACCGCTAAAAGGTTTGTTCTGTAGTTGCTGTCTTAGTGGAAAATAGTTTTTGAAATGAGTTTGAGTTAGTATTGAAATACCTGGCAAACAGCATTCTGCCTCTTATTACTCCAGGAGAAAGGTCAGCAGCAGGCACCAGGGCCACCCCTGTGGTGTCCTTCTGTCCTGTGCAGGAGGTATCAGGATGGGCCCCAGGGGGCTTGGATTGGGCAGGTTGTCTCAGCTGTGTTCCCAGCAATGGCACAGATATTTCTCATGCAAATTTAATAAACAGCATAGCTGGGTAGAAATGAACAAAACCCTAAGAGTCTTTAATGTAAGAAGAGTCAGAAAAAGAAACACTGCCCCCTCTTTTTTCTAGTTTCATTAAGAGAAACAGAAAATTTTAACACCGAGAAAATGACAGTGGCATGATACTTCCTTTAGTCTCTGCAAAGATAGATGAAAGCAAAGAATTTATATTTAAGATCAAGGGGTAAGGTGAAAAGGGGTATTGGCATAATGAGGTTATTTGTAGGTTTCCTTTACTCACAGAGATAAAATCTAGCCACTGTCAGCCACAAAAGTGCACATTAAACAAAACAAAAAATTTCATTCTACCTTTGGTTTACCCACGGCTGCAATGAAGGCAGACTTGCTTTGGTTTGAGTTTTGGGGTTTTGTTTTATTCTGCAAGAGAGACAGCCTTCCCCTGATGTCAGGCTGTTCCAGTGTCTTGCCTTCACAGGACTGCTGGGCTGTTTCTGGAGTCACATGAGCTCAGCAGCAGCCTGACACCAAATGGGCTGGACGTGTACAGACTCTTCAAAAAGCAGGCAGGCAAGAAAGCATTTGAAAGTGATAGCTAAACACATGTACCTGGTTAGCTGCAGAAAGGCAGTTGGGCAACACTTGGAATCATGTTTCTGGAGCAGAAGGGAGAAGAGTCAATTTAGTTAAATTAAGGTATGACTCACTGATGATACAAGCTGAGACTTTGGGTTTGGAATTGTGCAAGTGGATTTCCCAGTTGGCATGTTCATAGACATAAACAGGCACAGAAGGGAAAACCAGATGTTTCCAGTCAAACAAATGTTTGGTATATATTTCCTCCTGAACTAATGTTTCATTTTAATTTGGAAAATTTGTCTCACAGAAACAAACTCAGGTTTTGTACAGGTTTGACTGTTTAGGAAGGGGTGTTATAGGTATTTTGTTTACATGTAGGAACAGAACAAGGGTTCATCCCTGTTCTGAAGTACTGAAGGGACAGTGACACAAGTACAGCTTGTGCTGTTTCCAGTTTCAGTTGATCAAACACTGCCTTTCAAAACTGATGCAGATTTCCAAGGTGGCTACAAGTACTTTAGAGGATGAAATTTGGGTGTTAATTGTACCAGCACTGCATGTTCTTATTCTTAAGAATACCACAGAAGTAATATGCAGCTTTCAGAGAATGTTCCAGTGTTCCTTTTTCTTTGTTAGTGATTCTTACTAACATTTTAAGGTTTTGGTATCTAACTTACAAAAGTAGGGACTATTTCCACAGTGCAAAAGAAATTATCACGGTAGTTTATAACATACTATTTATATATTATATGAATATTTAAAATACATTTAAGAACATTTAAACTGAGTAAGGAAAATGAATTGTATCTTTAGTGATATTCCAAAGCTCCACTTGAGGTATTACAATTTCTTCACTGGAGAGCACAGCATTCTTTTTAGCTGGTTTATCTGAAGTGCACATCTATCACAGCTTTGATGAGAAAAGGCAGCATTTTTAAATTTAGGTGAGCTTCACCTGAAGGGAGGAATGGACTTGTGTATCAAAGCCATGCTGTGATATTACTCTGATGACCACATCAGCCTCAAGTCTCATCCAACACTCCCTAAGGAATAACTAGGTGCTCCTCCTTTTCCTTACAAGTTGAACTGAATGACTGTTACGTGAAATTTTGTTGCCTAGTCTTGTCTGACAACTAGATGAGTTTTAGGTCTTGCAAGTTTTGGGAAGAATGGGAAGTGTGTGTAACAGCATGATAACTTAGAACAATTTCTATATGTAACATTGACTTGTTTCTGTCTGATCCTTCATGAATTCTGATGCTGTCAGTCTGTAAGAATTGACCCTTACTAAAGTGAGCAGAGTGATCTCCTTTTCCTTCTGCACAGTGACTTGCTGAAACTGAAGTTGTGAGAAGTGAAACAAAAACCTTAGGGCATCTTAGAGTGATTGTAAATAAATTGTGGCATATTGGACTCATGTAGAGGGTAAGTGCAATTGTGTGTGGTGTAGATCATGTGAAATGTCAATACAGAGAAGCTAAAAGCACAAGTACTTTCTGAGCAGCATTTTCTGTGGTATGAAAGAAACAGCATTTTTCTGTGGTATTTTTCATTAGTAACATTTCCTAGTGGTGATTTCTTTGCTATAATCAGTTTTCCAGTGTATTAATTGTTTTATACCATGGCTTACTTTATGTTTTATACCGTGAATTCTTAGGAAGAAAAGTTTCAAGATGATTAGATCCCAGTCTTTGTCATTACAAATTCCACCTCAGGAATGGAAAGCACCACCAGCCAATCCTGTCCTGTCTCCTGCAACGCCAGTTGTTCCAAGTGCTTTTGTGCCAGTCCAAGTGCCATATGATGTACCAGAATTCCAGAGAGTTTCAATTAGTGGGGACTACTGTGCAGGGGTAAGAAACTATTGTTTTCCCACTTTCTGTATCTAGAGGGTGTAAAAAAGGTCCCATATATGTACATGAAATGTAAAATGCCAATATGATGGCTCTCTGAAACAAAATCTAAATTGCTTTGTCAATACAGTGATTTGTTAGACAGAAGTCAAGGTCAGGTTGTTTTTTACTCTTTTTAATAATAAATTGGATCCTGACATAATCAGATATTCAATAAATAGGTAATAGATGGTAGGATAAAAACATTTGTGTGTGTTTTGTATATTGTATTTGGATTCTGCTTCTGGCACTGGCTTACTGACTCCTTGGGCGAGATCCTTATGGTCAAGCCCCACACACTCCTATGCTAGAACTGCTATTTTTCCCAGTATTTATCCAGGTTTTCCTTCCAGGTTACAGTTGATGACTATGAACAAGCTGCCAAGAGCCTGGTGAAAGCTCTCCTCATCCGAGAGAAGTACTCACGTCTTGCCTACCACCGCTTCCCGAGGACGACATCTCAGTACCTGTGCAGCATGCGGGATCAGAAATGGAAGGTTGAAGATGAGGTGTGCCCAGGTGAATACCCTTTTAAAAATATTCAATTACATTCTAAAAAATTCAAACATTATTTTAAAATGCAGAATTAAACCCATGCAATACTATAGTAAAGGAAAGCTGTATTTTTGTGATGATCTCTTCTGACTGTCCTTGTAATTTATTTTGTTATTGAGTGGAGAATCATTAACAGGCCTAAGTTATAAATCCTTTATCTAATTTGGAACTTTGAAGATGTTAAAACCTAAAAACCAAGACTACTCTCTTATTGATTACTTTATTTCCTAAGCAAATGGGATGTTAAGTAGCATACTTATGCTCCCTCAGGAAAAAGCTGTGGTTTAAAGTGAAGTCATTCCTCCTCATCTTGGCATATG